TGGAATTGGTGTAATCTTTACACAAGGGGATATGAAACAACAACAACAACAACACTGTCTATAAACAGCTGGAGCAGCATGGACTCATGGAATTGGTGTAATCTTTACACAAGGGGATAATAAACAACAACAATGTCTATAAACAGCTGGAGGAGCATTGACTCGTGGAATAGGTGTAATCTTTACACAAGGGGATATGAAACAACAACAACACTGTCTATAAACAGCTGGAGCAGCATGGACTCATGGAATTGGTGTAATCTTTACACAAGGGGATAATAAACAACAACACCGTCTATAAACAGCTGGATGGGCATTGACTCATGGAATAGGTGTAATCTTTACACAAGGGGATAAGAAACAACAACAACACTGTCTATAAACAGATGGAGCAGCATGGACTCATTGTATTCGTGTAATCTTTACACAAGGGGATAAGAAACAACAACAACACTGTCTATAAACAGCTGGAGGAGCATGGACTCATGGAATTGGTGTAATCTCTACACAAGGAGATAAGAAACAACAACAACACTGTCTATAAACAGCTGGAGGAGCATGGACTCATGGAAATGGTGTAATCTTTACACAAGGGGATAAGAAACAACAACAACACTGTCTATAAACAGCTGGAGGAGCATGGACTCATGGAATTGGTGTAATATTTACACAAGGGGATAAGAAATAACAACAACACTGTCTATAAACAGCTGGAGGAGCATGGACTCATGGAATTGGTGTAATCTTTATACAAGGGGATAAGAAACAACAACAACACTGTCTATAAACAGCTGGAGGACAATGGAATTTGTGTAATCTTTACACAAGGGGATAAGAAACAACAACAACACTGTCTATAAACAGCTGGAGCAGCATGGACTCATGGAATTGGTGTAATCTTTACACAAGGGGATAAGAAACAACAACAACACTGTCTATAAACAGCTGGAGCAGCATGGACTCATGGAATTGGTGTAATCTCTACACAAGGGGATAAGAAACAACAACAACACTGTCTATAAACAGCTGGAGGAGCATGGACTCATGGAATTGGTGTGATCTTTACACAAGGGGATAAGAAACAACAACAATGTCTATAAACAGCTGGAGGAGCATTGACTCATGGAATAGGTGTAATCTTTACACAAGGGGATATGAAACAACAACAACACTGTCTATAAACAGCTGGAGCAGCATGGACTCATGGAATAGGTGTAATCTTTACACAAGGGGATAAGAAACAACAACAACACTGTCTATAAACAGCTGGAGGAGCATGGAATTGGTGTAATCTTTATACAAGGGGATAAGAAACAACAACAACACTGTCTATAAACAGCTGGAGGAGCATGGAATTTGTGTAATCTTTACACAAGGGGATAAGAAACAACAACAACACTGTCTATAAACAGCTGGAGCAGCATGGACTCATGGAATTGGTGTAATCTTTACACAAGGGGATAAGAAACAACAACAACACTGTCTATAAACAGCTGGAGCAGCATGGACTCATGGAATTGGTGTAATCTCTACACAAGGGGATAAGAAACAACAACAACACTGTCTATAAACAGCTGGAGGAGCATGGACTCATGGAATTGGTGTGATCTTTACACAAGGGGATAAGAAACAACAACAACACTGTCTATAAACAGCTGGAGGAGCATGGACTCATGGAATTGGTGTAATCTTTACACAAGGGGATAAGAAACAACAACAATACTGTCTATGAACAGCTGGAGCAGCATGGACTCATGGAATTGGTGTAATCTTTACACAAGGGGATAAGAAACAACAACAACACTGTCTATAAACAGCTGGAGGAGCATTTACTCATGGAAATGGTGTAATCTTTACACAAGGGGATAAGAAACAACAACAACACTGTCTATAAACAGCTGGAGGAGCATGGACTCATGGAATTGGTGTAATCTTTACACAAGGGGATAAGAAACAACAACAACACTGTCTATAAACAGCTGGAGGAGCATGGACTCATGGAATTGTTGTAATCTTTACACAAGGGGATAAGAAACAACAACAACACTGTCTATAAACAGCTAGAGGAGCATGGACTCATGGAAATGGTCTAATCTTTACACAAGGGGATAAGAAACAACAACAACACTGTCTATAAACAGCTGGAGGAGCATGGACTCATGGAAATGGTGTAATCTTTACACAAGGGGATAAGAAACAACAACAACACTGTCTATAAACAGCTGGAGGAGCATGGACTCATGGAATTGGTGTAATCTTTACACAAGGGGATAAGAAACAACAACAACACTGTCTATAAACAGCTGGAGGAGCATGGACTCATGGAATTGGTGTAATCTTTACACAAGGGGATAAGAAACAACAACAACACAGTCTATAAACAGCTGGAGGAGCATGGACTCATGGAATTGGTGTAATCTTTACACAAGGGGATAAGAAACAACAACAACACTGTCTATAAACAGCTGGAGGAGCATGGACTCATGGAATTTGTGTAATCTTTACACAAGGGGATAAGAAACAACAACAACACTGTCTATAAACAGCTGGAGGAGCATGGACTCATGGAATTGGTGTAATTTTTACACAAGGGGATAAGAAACAAATACAATATTAATATTAAATATTGACAAATAAGAATAAACAATAATAAATAAATAGATAAAACTGTTCAGACATCTCATCATAAGATCCTGTTCATATATTACTGATGGTAAAATTTATTTAGAGAGAGATTGAGATTGAAGCTGATTTATTACAATGTACATATAAGATTATATATGGTTAAATACAAAATTGAATAAATACGAATAAATATGATTATATAATGATAAATATATGAATGAGAATAGATATAAATTATTTAAATATATACATATATATAAATTATATACAAGGTCTTCATTGGTGGCGCCCACCGCAGGAAAGACTCGGCCAAATCTAGAGAGAGATATTGAGATTGAAAACATGAACGTGAAACACGTACAACAATTAGATAAATATTGATCAATAAAAGGATGAAACATAATGAATATATAGATAAAACTCTTCAGATATGTCACTAACAGATCCTGTTCATAAATTGCCAATGGTAAAGCGGATCTAGAGAGAGAAAGATATAAAAAAAAAGAAGCAGCAGACATTCCAGAAGAAGAGACGCCAGGTGACCCACGTGCCAACAGTGGGGTTGAAAGGGGTAATTAGGTTTTTCACTGCTGGCCTCTGATTGGCTAGTGGCTCAAGGTCGTTTGATATCCAGCTAAACCACTCTCTGGAACCCTGAAGATTTACAATTACCCTAACTGGAATTAATACATAGCAATAAAAACGTCATCTATATAAATACAAATGAAAACACCAAAACACAAATGTTTCTTTTTACACATAAATCAAACTTCTACTGTCCTTACTGCGATAAAAAAATATTAGGAGGGCTTGGCTCATCAGTAGTGAACCCTCCCAAAAATTTCGCCAATTTAATCTACCAGACCGCTTCTTTAGAGCTCTAATACTGTATTGGATCATTCTGTTTATATATGTTACACTGAAGGGTGGAATCTTAGAAATGGTATTTAAGTAAACTATGGACATAAGCTTTTAGGACAGTAGAATTAAATATAATATTTGTATCGAGCAATACTCTTCTGCAAACAATAAGGACAAGTTAGGTATAAATTAATACGAAGCAATAACACACCATATATATATAACGAATAAAGACATTAAGACGCGAATGTTTATTTTCACAAATAAATCAAACTCTACTGTCCTTATCATTCAGAATGATCCGATACAATATTAGAGCTCTAAAGAAGTGGTCTGGTAGATTAAATTGGAGAAACCGCTGGGAGGGTTCACTACTGATGACCCAAGCCCTTTCAATATGTTTCATCGCAGTAAGGACAGTAGAAGTTTGATTTATTTGTGAAAATGAACATTCGCGTTTTGGTTTTTTCATTTGTACTAACGGGAATTGATACAAGAATGCTATAAAGCGTCAATTTTCGATACCAAAAAGACCTCTGGATTGAATCCCACTGATAGTACCTTGTAAGGATTCCAGGGATACAGGATGTACTCCATGTTGGCTGTACATGTTCCTCATGTCAGACATATTGGAGCTAAGTCAGTGGCCTGCTACTGAATAGTGCTCCCTGTCTTAATGACAAACACATTCTACTGAAAGGACTCCAGGGATACAGGATGTACTCCTTGTTGGCTGTACATGTTCCTCATGTCAGACATATTGGAGCTAAGTCAGTGGCCTGCTACTGAGTAGTGCTCCCTGTCTTAATGACAAACACATTCTACTGTAAGGACTCAAGGAATACAGGATGTACTCCATGTTAGCTGTACATGTTCCTCATGTCAGACATATTTTGCTAAGGCAGTGGCTTGCTACTAAGTCCCAGTCTTAATGACAAACACATTCTACTGTAAGGACTCCAGGGATACAGGATGTACTCCTTGTTGGCTGTACATGTTCCTCATGTCAGACATATTGGAGCTAAGCCAGTGGCCTGCTACTGAGTAGTGGTCCCAGTCTTAATGACAAAGATATTCTACTTCACCCAGTGAGATAATAAAGAAGTCAAATAGTATAATATCAGTATGAAGATCTCCAGAACAAGAAAACATCGACCGGAAAAGAAAGTACCAGAATTCCATTAGGGTAGATGGGAGCTTATTAGAGAAAGGCATTGTTTGGGTTGATGGTATTGTCTTGGCCTTGTGAGTCATAGCGCTCTGTCATTGACCTTTGTGTCTATAGTTCTGATTATTTTACATATACCATACGGCTATGATTTTAGAACGACGTTTAACAAGTTTTACCGCAAATGTTTCTTTTTACAGAACAAAAAAAAAATCGTAATTTTCATTATTTTAAGGAAAAATAACGACTATTCCTATCCTTAGGGATAAAGTATGAAAGGATGAATTGTGAAGTGTAATGATGAACGGAAAAATAAAAGTGACCAGAGATGGGAATCGAACCTACAGTGTTTCATTTGTCTAGTGGACATGACATCTGCCCGGTAAGCAGAACACTGTGGGTTCGATTCCCATCTTTGGACACTTTTATTTTTCCGTTCATCATTACTCTTCAAAATTCATCCTTTCATACTTCATCCCTGAGGATAGGAATAGTCGTTATTTCTCCATAAAATAATTAAAATTAAGATTTACCGTTCTGTTAAAAGAAACATTCGCGGTAAAACTTGCTAAACGTCGTTCTATAGCCCTGCTTATTAAACATATAAGCCTTTAAATATTTTACCAAAAATTATATTTCTATTGCATATTTATATATATTAGAAAAAAGGCATCTCCTTATCGTGCAACTGAAAGTTGCTGATGGCTTGCGCCATCTATCGGAATAAATATCAACTATTCTCGTTGATTTTTAATTATTCCAGAATTTTGGTCGTTGAGGTACAGCTTGCACCACGCTGATGAGGGCCAACAGCCCGAAACGCGTCCGTGGTTAGCTTTTCTTGATTAATCAAGAATGGGTATTTGGCCAATTCTGGAATAATTAAAAATCAACGAGAATAGTTGATATTTATTCCGATAGATGGCGCAAGCCATCAGCAACTTTCAGTTGCACGATAAGGAGATGCCTTTTTCTAATTTATGCACCTTATCCCAGTACAATATTACATTTGTACTATTTTTTCACATTTATATATATGTTATATTAAAATATTATTCTATTTAAAATTATATTTCATAGATCCAAATACTCTGTTAAATCGACCGCCAGAGGTAAAGCTTCCCCTATAAAAACTCGTTGTTGTTCTTCCCCGATGGCCTGTCATATAATAGATACATGAATCCTGCCAAGAAGAAAAAGAAGGCCTACAAGCCCATCGTGAACGTCGCCGACCTGGAGAGGAAAGATGAGATGGTGATCTCACGCAACTGCAGCATCCTGAGCTCCATTGGCCATCCTGCCCTGAAATCCCTGCATGAGAACCTGATGCGCTACATCGCCTCGCGGACTGAAATGATCAAGGCCCTCGCTACCGAAGTAGAGAACCTCAATGACACCCTCGAGTCCTTCGCAGAGTTGGAAGAAATTGAGGAGGCCAACAAGCCCAAGACTGCTTGCCGCGGCACTCAAACCTGCCCTGCTCCTTCCTGCAATGAAACCAGCTCCCAGACTGACCCAATCAAGCCCGCCACTCCTGCTCCTGCTGCTCTCCCTGCCAAGAAGCCTGCCTCCACCTTGCCTGCTCCTGCTCCAACCAAAAGGAAGCAGTCTGAGGCTCCCAACCCGCCTGCAAAGAGGACAAACCTGAATGGTCCTTCAAAACCTGCGCCTTCCCGCGTATCCAAGCCTGCGGCCGCCCAAGTGATCCTCCATGGAGAAAAATCGGCGGCCCACACAGTGGTCATCTCTGATGACCCACAGGCTGACCCAAGGGAGATGCTAAAAGCTGTCCGCGCTGCCCACACTCTCCCCCAAGGCGTTTGGGCCTCCCTGCACACCAAGGGGAAGCTGGTCCTCCACTCCAGTAATCCTGACACCATCCCTGAGGTGACAACCTCCCTGGCCAGCAAGTTGAATGGAATGAAGGTCCGCCAGCAGAAGGAGATCCTGCCACGGATCTGCCTCTTCAAAGTGGATGAGGAGACATCCAACTCCACAATTGAGGAGACCTTCCTGGAAACCGCTGCTGTTAGAAAACTTCCTGGGAACAAGGTGGTGCGCGTGGCGCACCGTTCTGCACCCAGAAGCGGGACCTGCACCGCCTTCATCGAGGTGGACCTCAAGACCTTCAGAGCCCTGGGCGTTCGCGGGAGAATCGTGGTTGATGGAGTAATCCTCAACTTCGAGGAGTCCATCCGCGCCCGCGTCTGCTCCCGCTGTTGTGGCTTCGGCCACAACTCTGCCCAATGCTCCAGAGCTCCTAAGTGCTTTCACTGCGGTCAAGACGGCCTTGAAGGCCGCACCTGCCCATCCATTGCTGACCAGCGCACCTCCAAATGTGCCAACTGCTGCTCCAAGGGCCTTCCTGACAAGCACGAGGCGAGAGCCTCAAGCTGCCCCATCCTGAAGTCTAGGGCCCTCAAGTTCTAGGCTTCAAGGACCTTCTGCCTCCAATTCCATCTGCCACTTCTACTGGATTCCTGGCCAATTCAATGCTCCTGCCTCACTGCACCTTGGCGCTGTTCCCCTGCTTGCCCAACGTTTCCACTACCCCTGCGACACATCTCCTGCCGCCAGATCCTAGGGTCCCTTGCCACCTGACATCGCGCTTGGGCTCAAAAATCATAACTTTCGGTTAGTAGCCCGTAAAACCATATTTTCTCTTCCCCGATGGCCGGCTCAAAATTTTTGTACATTATGTAAATAATCTTTTGTTTTCCTTATTCTACTCGCCTTAAGCCAGGCATTACTTTTATCAAATTATGTTCTTTTATATATTCCTTTAGTTCAATTAAATTACTGATCAAAATTATTTTTATTATCATACTTTCAAGATTTAACCACGACTGCATTACATTACTATAATCCTCAACATGATCAAAAAACAACAGAAATTTCTCTTTTTTTATTTTTAACACATATATATTAATAAAAAGGCATATATTGGATCAAAATATCATTTATTTTAACAATATTTCAGTTGGCTGAACGCCAACCTTTATCAAGGTATTATAACATATTTAATGTGTGTCAACAACATGTGGCGCTGAGTTTGTTGTTGACACACATTAAAATGTTATAATACCTTGATAAAGGTTGGTGTTCAGCCAACTGAAATATTGGTAAAATAAATGATATTTTTGATCCAATATATGCCTTTTTATTTAAAGATTTATTTATGGATTGCTCTATTTTCAAAACATACACAGTAAACTCTCCTATAACGCGATTAATGTGTTCCACACACACACACACACAAAAGCCTTTATTAAGACACACAGGTCTTACAGAGGATTCTCCTTGGGGTTACAAAACGGAGAAACCTATGAAAGTGGGAAATAAAAAATGGAGAAAGATTATATACATTTGGTAAATATATACAGATTATAAGAAAGAATAAAAAAAATAATAATAAGAAGAATAAAAAAATCAAAAAAAAAAAAAATTTTTGGAAATATGGATGGGAGAAGTGGAGAGCGAAAAGAGGAAAGAAAACAGGAATTTACATAAGGAACAAGACAATTTAAGCTCTTCTGCTCACACAGCACAGGTGGGCCATGTATTTTTTAAGAAATCTTTAAGAGATTTCCCAGGAAAATCCGCGTGTTCAGGGTTGTAAGGTAAACACCGTTTTATCAGTGGGGGGGTTAACTTATCGTATCTGCCTAAACAAATAATTGGATGTTGGTTCTGTCCTTCTCATCAAATAGAATTTTTTGGTATGTTTGGATGTTCGGTTAAGTCTTTCTTTTTTTCAGCATTTTTATGGAAGTTATATAGATTCAGAGCTACTGAACTATTGTCTATAAAGTTGGATAATAAAGAATATAATGTGAAGTGTGTATGGCCTATCTTAGAAAAGAGTATTTTTCTTTCCGTATCAAGAGGCTTGCATTCAAATATATAATGTTCTAATTCATTTTCGGTTCTATTTTTGCATAGTTGGCAATACAAGTCTTCTGTCCTTAGATATTTTATATGGTCTTCTCGATATAAAACAAATAGAATTCTCAATTGCGCAATGAGGCGTTTAGTCGGCAGTGGGAGTTCACTTAGTAGATAGTTCTCTGCTGCGAATGTTTTATGTAAATATTTGTAGTGTGTGTGTAGCTTCGAATTGGTTATTCTTGATTGATCGGTTTGGATAGACTGTTCTATAGTGATTCTGATAATTTGAGGTATTGCTTTCTGTAGAATATTGGGATTTGAACAATTCTTTAACCACATGAATCAAGTTGAGTTTAGGATATTCATTAAATTTTCTGTGAAACCTATAAAGGTATTCGTTAGAGTGGATGTTTCCCATAATTGGGCTAGACAGATTGCGGGCAATCTGGATTTTTCCATTTTTAATATTCTTAACCAGAACTTTAGAATTAGTTTGGTTGCTGTGACTCCTAGTGAGAAGCGTCCGGTTTCCATGCGTAGTATGTAGCCTGGTGTGTTACTCGGCAAGTTCAATAGTCGTCGGAGATAGTTATTCTGAATTTGGTCCAAGATTTTGTACTTTTCGTTTGCCCAAATTGGAGCAGAATACAGCAGAGTTGACAGGATAATCGAGTCTAATAGTTTCATTGATGAACCAAATGAATTCAACCTGGATTTCTCCATAATTTTCCATACTTCGCCGGTAGCTGCAAGCGCTTTGCCTTTAAAGTATGAAGCCACTTGACTAAACGAGATTGTTGTTGTGAGGGGATAGCCAAGATAGAGATATTTCGATGTCACTGTCAACAGTTGGTCTCCCCAGAACCATTTGTCCGATTTTGCAGGGCGGCCACCATTTCGGAAAACCATTATCTTGGATTTTGATTCGTTCAGGGTTAGATGATTTGTTTCGAAGTATTTTTTCAACATGTTGATTTTTATTTGTAGATTGATTTTTGATTCTCCTATGAGAATTATGTCGTCGGCATACATCAAAAGGTGGACCGTTCCAAAATTAGGGAGGTATATGCCTGGTAGAGTAGAGTCATTAAAAATGTTGATTAAATCAGTTACAAAGAGTATAAATAGATAGGGTGATAAGGGTTCTCCTTGTAACACTCCCGATCGGATTTTGATGGGTTCAGTAAATAGTCCATTCCATCTCACCGTCGTTGTCATTTGTTCGAAGTAGTTCCTAATAAGGTTAACAAAGCGGAAATCCAGACCTAATTCACCCAATTTTGACCACAGAAGTGAGTGGGGAACAGTGTCAAAAGCCGATTAATGTGTTCCGTGTTGTATGAAATCGCGTTATACGAAATAAAACTTGCATAACGCGAATGTTGTTAGGGTAAATTGTTAGTGACAAATATCATGTATTTTATTTTATAACCGTTATACGAAAATTCGCGTTGTATAAATAAATTTGTCGCAATTTTTTTATCGCGTTGTACGAAATCGCGTTATAGGAGAGTCTACTGTATATATGTGTGTGGA